CGTCATCGGACTATTCCCTAACGCTCTCCGTTCGTGTAATCAGTTACTTTGCCCAGATTATATTTCTACAGACCCATAATCGCACAATTGTATACGGAAGCGGCATCGGCTAATCGCCCGGTCCACTTTGATAAATTGGAATTTTATTCAAAGCTACACAACACGACGCTCGGCCTAATCCGCCCCCGACGAAAAAACACCGCAGAGCCCCGCCGCCCCTACGAAACTCCCATAATCCACCCGTCCCGAGCAGGTAGGTTAATCCTGCAGAGACAATATTGTTCCTACTACTTCATTTGTACTCCCGGTAGTATTAATTAGGGTGTACAGTTTTTCCTTACGAACTGGCTAATGCCGGTAATAGCCACAATGGTAATCACACCGAATGACTGGTGGAAGACGGTGCTGCAGTTGTGAATAGTAAATTCATGACGGGGAAAGAACTTATCCCTCATAAAAATAGGACCTCGTGACATCGACCTCGAACGGAAAGACAATCGTTGTTTTGTTGCTTTAGTTTAAGTGTGTTGTTTCAACTGTGGTAAGGCCATTAAATAGTCTGTTGCACGAATGAGAAGGCCCGTCCAGGTAAGTACCACGACCTCACAGAAGACCGGCGTGAAGTGGAAGTGTATACTTCTGCGTTTCGTCTGGTGATTGAGGCAGCCGGGGACCACTTTATTAAGAGGTGGCAACGCATCTGCAACTCGTGAGGCGGTTGTCACTTAACATCAGGTGGCCTAACAGCTCGTTTGCCACCTTCCCACATAAAGAAAAGTGTCAACCAAGCGAGCTGTTCGGAGTTTAAGCCATAGGCGATATTCCTAGACATTACCGTACTATAAAAAGTCTGGTGTATTCCCTTCATCTGTGTGGGCTCTTAATGAAAACATTAGACGATCCTCTTCGTTTCAATACAGAGAATTACGAGTTTGAAGAGCGTCCGATGTGACACCGTTTCACCGCTAATTGGTACATCAAGACTCGATCAGTGTTGTATTCGTTAATTGGTCTCGTTCCAATTTACGACCGGTCAGCGGCTCAGCTGTTAATTTTCTAATTATCGTGTGTGGAATATTCATGTCCGACGCTCTAACACGTGTAGAGCGTTTGTTCGATAATTTTCTATGTATCTTCTTATAGACAGGAAAGGACGAAACGTATTATGAAACCGGCGATCTAAGACGAGGTAGACTATTTCTCGAACGTTCTAGATGTTATTTAAATAGTAACAAGTGAACCATGTGGGGTCAGGACAACATACGAATCATACTGTATTGGTATTGGCTAGGATTGTTATGACCAGCCACCTGCCTGGCGTCACACCAATAATCGTCTGTGGGAATCAAACCCACGACCTCCAGCGCGAATGCTCTTATGTTAGTAATTGCGCAAACGTGTCATCTTTCTAAGCTATCACAGATAGCGTTATCACAAGACGATCATTATAACGTGCTTAAGTGTAATCAATTATTTAGTAGTAAAAATATTCACCATTCGCGTGTTTGCTACATTCAGTTACGTCGTAATTTGTTACTTCACGTAAGCTTTGTCAATTCACATCGCACAGCGCAAACTCGAAGCGTAAACAAAGCTCGCTGCTTGGGTAAGCGGATTTTAGTTCGGCGTGTTAAAATCGACTGCTTCGACGGAGGGGACTCTGGGGGGATGATTAATTCCGCTGGCATCCGAGGGATTTCCATTTCCAGAACGAGTCGCCAATAGCCTGCTCTATGTCGCCTTTTGTAGCTGCCAGGATAATAATTATCGGAGCTGTGATAAAGTATCATGGTGCCGCGATGAATGTGATTGTTGATTTGATATTTTAAATGCGTGACTACTTATTACAAGGTCTAGCTACAACTTGAGGTTGCAAGCCGACGCTGTAGTTTAAACCTAGCAGCTTATTTGAAGCAAGCAGTTCAGCTGTTTGCTCCTCCTATTTTCCGCGATTTTGGATTTTATCTTGGCACAGTTTCAATTTCTGTTTGTGTCCCCCATGGGTGGTCTCACTTCTGTTTATCTTATATTATGTGAAAGCACGCCTTAAGCTATGCAATTTGTCAAACTTATTTAACAACAATCATTTGTAGGTAATAAATATAGGTACCATATGACAAAAGTACTTAACATCACAATCATATTACATAAAACAATTGAACAAACGCGACGGCTTACGATGGTAGGGCCATGCAGCAGCCTCAGCTGTTGCACGAATGGGCAGGCTCGTCCGGGTAAGTACCACGGTCTCACAGAAGACCGGCGTAAAGTGAAAGTATAATACTTTCGCGTTTCGTCTGGTGAGTGAGGTGGCCGGAGTCCAATTTTCAAAAGGTTGTCAACGCATCTGCAACCCTCGGGTGTAGCAGATGTCCATGGGCGGCGGTATTCACTTAACATCAGGTGAACCGTCTGCTCGTTTGACAACTTTTCACATAAAAAAAAAAAACAAAAAGACACAAGACCACCGTAAAATGGTTATATTTAAAGACATAAACGTGGACTCGCAACTTGCTAAGTTGTGTTTGAGTTTTTTGGTATGTACATCGTATTAATTTGTCTAAACTTCAGTTTCCAACAACATAAAGGGCCCGTTTGTTAATACGTGTAGTTAAGGGGTGAAATATAAGAGCTAATTTCATCCATCCACACAAGTGTTTCTGACAACGCTAGGCTTTGGAGCTGTAGCTACTAGGGGCTGTCTGGAGCGCCGTGTAAGCCCGCTCCGTTGTTCCCAGGCCATTGTTGCAAAACGCTATTAAGTTAGAGCCAACAAGTTTATTACGGAATGTATATTCATGTGAAATTAGCATTTAAATGCTCTCGGTCCTCGGCAATTTCATCTTGGGCCATTGGACAGTCAACAATAAGTCCAGAGAGATTGTTTATCGCATGCCTTTACTGTTGGAAACATTGTTATTTGGAATTTAATGTCTGTTGTACAAGACTGAAGCAAATAAAATGATTGGACCAAATTTTCCTTAGGTTAACTTGTGACATTAGATCGTAAAACAACTGTATCTGAATTTCGACTTCATATTCTGTAAAAAGTCAAACGTCGGGAATGTAAATAAAAAAAATAAACGCGAAATTATTTGCAAATGTAGTTTTATAAAACAGTAGGTCTTTTTTTAAATACTCTGATGTGGTGTATTCAATAATTGTATTCAAGTCGTGTTGCTTTATTGTTATTTCACTGAGCTAATCGTTTGATCGACCTTTTTAGCTCTAATACTTAAATCTAATTAAAGTATAATACCGGACCCTTGATACAAGACATTAGTTCAAACGTCGACAGCCAGTTGAGACGTGCTTAAGTTTTAAGTTAAACAGGCGATGCTTAATCCGAGGCACGCCATTGTAGAGGGAGGTGGGGGAGGAATTCTCTATTTGCCCTACTCCGTTAAGCACTTTATTGTTTCCTTTAAAACATCCTGCCCGCTGTACGTAGGGCCCTGCTGCTATGGACAAAATAAACATTTTTCGTGTTTGGAAATTAATCGGCTTGTCCACGCTATCCTGCGTATTCGTTTCGATTTACTAATTCTGTCTATACTTCATTTCTGCTTCTAGAGGCAAAGTTTAAGTACCTCAAGATTCTCGTAAGAGTTTATTTACATTATATTATGTTGATGCTTTTTAACTTCATTGAGTAGTCTCTTACTTCCTTGTTACCTAATTTAATTCATTTTTAATTGTGTATAACTACTAAGTTTATTACTTTTCTCTTTATTGTTTAACGCTTCTCTTCTGAACACATAATTCTATACGAAATTCTCTAATTGTGAAAACTTTTAATTGGCCTTTAATTTTGTTAAATTTGATCAACCAATGACTGTTCTAGCTGTAAGTTTTCCAAAAATATCTAAAATAAAATAAATAAATAAAAATAAAATACTTAACAGTCCTTCCGCCCGGCTATAATCACGTAACGAAAAATGATTTTAGGATTAATTATTTTGAATGTAGCATAATTCGCTGCTTCGCATGGCGACAGGAGGTGACCATTCATCGGCGATAAGGTCTATCGTCTTTCATATTTTGGACTATTCAGGCTCAGTGAAACTTTGATAGATTAATCCATTACTGTAAATCGAAAAATTTAAGAGATTCGATTCCTCGGCGTATTTACAATTGACTTACACATCGTATACATCGCAAGCGCCTCTTGGGCGTTTCTGGCTACTACATGCAAACCGATCCCATGGCCAATTTCCCGCGAAATTTCCAGCCCTCCGGGGAGCGAAATTAGAAGCTTGCCCCCGCCCCCTGCTGTGACGGCTTTAGGGGCGCCATGGAACCGTTAGAAGGTTGTTTGCGCGATTCGCTATTGATCAGATAATTATTATATTATAGTATAAGGGAAACAAATAGATTCATGACACAATCCGAAATGTGTCAGTCCCCAGTCGTATCGGATAGGAGGAAGATTTAAAAAAAAAAAGCAAACCCCTTTGCTATCAATCGTTTAAAGTGTTCTCAATTGAATGCAAACAAACAATCGAAACATAACCAAATCCTTGCCTTATTCAACACTTACGTAACACTACGTAGGGACTACAGACGGTCGTCAGAAGTTTTACCGTCTGAGGACCCGCGTTAGCTTTACCGTCACAGTTTTACCGGCGGACTTCTCGCAGACTCAATAAGCGGCTAATTGCACGTCAGCTTTCCGGCTAATCGCGTAAAAGGATTACGAGGGAATATCGGAAGACCTCGCGACGGTAAAACTCTTTGACAGACGCATGTTTGAGACACGACCGCGACACGATAAAGGCACGTGACGTTTGCGATCTGCTAACTAAGCTAATAAAAATTCAATCAATTATTCGACGTACGACAAACGGTCACATCAAATTTAATTAAATTATCACTTTTACATCAGAACGAATCGATTAACCAATTATCGTATGAATATAATAGTCGCCACGTCCAGCTGTCTACCACACTGGTCAAGTTATTCGCACGCGTTTATTTGGATTCCGCCTATCAGCACCTCAAATAGATCGCAGCATTGAACTTGATACTTGATACTTGCCTCGTGACGCGTTATAGCCGAGTGTGGCCGCGCCGGGGGCAGTGGGTAGTGCTGCCCGCTCGTTGGACCGGTTGCAGCGGAGAAATAAAAGTGGGCAGGCAAAGGTCATTGCCGATGGAGCGCGTACACCTCGGCGCCACACTACGGGCGAGGCGGCCTATTCGGACGCAACGCAAACTCTCCGTGGAATATTCTAGCAATGTTGCTAACATTGACTGTCTACCCCATTAGGAAAGGCGCGAGAGCCAATACGCCGTTAGACAATATCCTTAGTATGATGAAAATCACTACCTACACAGTATAAAATAAAGTCGTCCCGATGTTTGTCTGTCCCTATGTATGCTTAGATCTTTCAAACTACGCAACGGATCTTGATGCGGATTTTTTTATAATATACAGCGTGTCGTTACCATCGCGACAATAAATGAAAACACGTGTAATGCTACTTGCCAATAATCATAAAAAAATATTAACATTAAACAAAATCCATAATTAAAAAAATATACTTTTCAAACTAATTAAGTAAAAAAAAAAAAAAATTTGTTACATCTTATACAATTCGCGCCACAGCGTCGCATTACAAGCCTCTCCTTCTAACAGTATGTTTTGTCTCTTGTAAATTCATTCAACCCATTCATATGCTTTGTGACCTTTACAAATGAACTTTACGTTACAGTTTTATACGTACGGATGTTCTAAAATTCTTTGTTTTGGAAAATTTAATAACTCTGTAAATATTGATGTTTAAAGAATGTAAATGTTTAAATCAATTTTAAAAAGTTATCCCCTATATTTGTGTTCATTTATTGTCGCGATTGTAAAGACACGCTGTAGAGTGATTCAAGAGGTAGGTTTATATGTACATAATACATTTCACCCGTGCGAAGCCGAGGCGGGTCGCTAGTAAAGAATATATTAAATTATATGAACAAAATTTTGTACAACACACTTCGATAAATATTGACCAATTCAAAATCGATTTGAAAATCATAGGTGCAGAGTAGGTATATCTCTGCTTTAGTCATAGCTAATCTACCTAGCTAATCTATCTAGCTATTAGTCATAGCTAGACTACAGTACATAGTCAATATGGGTGCGATAATTCAAGGCGAAGTGTTTTGTACCTTCTCTAGTTCGGCTCGCTCGCCGTTCTAATTTACAACATCATTAACTTACCATCTACAGTATAGTTAATGAATACGAAAACCCCTTTAGTTACTTTGAGGTAGACTGGGTGGCATCCGACACATGGACTTTTGCATACCACGTAATGAACGAGGAATTTTATTATTTTTATTAGGACAAGACTACTTTTTATTAGGACAATTATTATTTAGGTATTTTTGGCATACAAGCCAATAATTTAAGCTAGCGGACCGTGGGTCGACGTCCCTGTCACTAGAATATAGCTATTTTAAGCACTAAATGTCGTTGAGTGACTACGAATTGCCCACTAAAATGCAACCTTCCGAAATTTATCGTCAACAATGCCCCGATAATCTCAGACTGAATGAAAGTTCGTGTGAAACGAACACCGTTGGAATTGAAAAATCGAAAGAAAACGCCTCATAATTTATCATTACGCTATAAACCATCTTAATAATAAGACATTATGGGCAGACGATATATTATCGCCGCGTAACAAAGTTAGTGTCGAAAAACCGGTGATTCAGGGCGCGGGCTAGGTAGAACTGTTTTCTTGGCAGTTTGTCAAAAATCGGATGGTCTTAATGGTACGGGACGCCACTAGACTCCGCTGATGCGAAGGATGTCAAAAGTCCGTTTAAGGCATACTTCCAATTGTTTTATTATGAACTGTCTAAGGGCCAGCTACCGACTTGAACAAGTCTTTCGACGGAATTCACGTTTACGCAACACGAGTTTTAATATCAACCAGACAAGCCCATGTGAACAGCTGGACCCAAATAATTACCAGGATTTTGGTCGTCGAGAGCGCGGCACTCAACGTCGGGACGGACCAAAACTAGTGTCGGTACAAGGCTTGGCTGTATTAATTACGCCCGTAAAACCAAGGAGGCGATTACGGGGGCCGTAAAGCCGCCCGTGGTACGAGAAGATTTCTTTTTCGAAAGCGGACCGATCGTAAAGTTTATCGTCCTCTGTGCACTGTGACGCCGAATTGAACAGCGGGACGGTTATTGGGTACACGTGCACCCTGCGCCGAAGTCAACAAAATTCGAGTGCTGTCAGACTTTTAGTGCCTTCGCCCTTCTTCTACTGTAATTGATTTCTTTTACAGTTTCCTCAGTATTATCAAGCCTATTAACTAGGCTTCATTACTTCTTCTACTTACAAGACTCCACTTGTAAGCAGGGCTTTAATTATATCTATACATCTGTGGTCACGGCCACGCATAATCTTCGCTGTTGCACGAATGGGCAAGTCCGTCCGGGTAAGTGCCATGACCTCACAAAAGATCGGCGATCGCCTGGTGAGTGAGGTAGCCGGGGCCCACTTTATTATTTACGGCAACATTGACACTACCATCAGGTAGGAGAGCTGTCAAACACAGCACAGTCTCTTGTTAAAAAATCACCACAAAGATAACACACGATTATACCTTTACATATTATTTTGAATTTATAGCTAATTTCAAATAAATACACTCCATAAGGGGTAAGAAGGGGCTTACAAACTCTATCGGGGGGTATCAATATTACTTTCAAATCGTTGTAACTTTAAAGTACTGCTCGACATGGATCTCGAAATTAAATTGGCGACCTCGAAATTTTATGAGCGAGCCAGCTCGACTACAACTAACTCAATGTTAATCGCTTCTACGTGCTTAAAACATTACAGCATAAGTTTTATTAATTAATGCCTTGCGGGCAATAGAGAACCGTATAGATCAGTGTCGCGGCGCTTCGCTTTTAATTCTCAATCGATCCGAGTTCGATTCCGAGAACAATGGAATTGTTAGCTGCAACTTTAAAAGCAAATTTATCACTTGGCTAGCGTGAAGTGAAACCAAATCCATATTCTTGAGGTAACGATAAAGATATTTTTAAGATATCTTTCTCTACTCTTCAAAAAAACGTGACAACACTCTTTATTTTGGTAGCACCAACAAATTGCTTAAGCGACCGAAATGGAAGTTGTTTATACAATCAACTATAACAAGTTCTACGCCGGCCTCGTCTTTTATCACTTTTCAATCAAAGTTCTTCAATAAACACGCTTTACTGAAAACACCTAATCAACCCAGTTTAAGAGCAATCTATAAAAAGTTTTCGTTTAACCAACTTCCACACTAGAGTGAGAATTTTGTTAATTCAATCATAGGTAATATAAATATAAAATCGACGTGTATCTTTTCGTTATGTATTTCAAAACGGCTGAAGCGATTTTGATGAAATTTTTAGAAAATCTTCAGATTAGCCTATGGGCTGATTCTGTGGATTTTGATAGCGATCAGATCAACAGTTTTTTTTAATAGATAATTAGTGCCGTGTGCAAGAAGTAAAGGATTAAAAAATTCCCGGTCCAATTACAGGTTAAGCCATTCACTATGTAGTGCCTACTTGATGACGACTAATCTATAATGACAGTTAGTGTCTAGTATACAGTGATCTCTTTCTGACATACGATCAATGCTCCAATAAATCTACTATTGTTTTCTTGTCTTCAAATTTAACATTCTCGGCCTCCTCATTTATCGTTTGATGCCTAATAAATGTTTAGAAAGAATTTCTCGAAAAGAAATTCATTGCTCGCAGATTCGAAGCCAATACCAATCATTGAGTCGCTACAGTCTTTCACCACATAGTTCGTACTCAAATATAGATAGTTTTATTACGGTGAGCGAGCTCAACAGTCTTATGCAACGGTCACCGCTCACCAGCGCAATGGTGGTACCCACTAATCACCACCCACGGGTGTAGCGAATCGCGCCGTATTCCGCAATCGGCCCTTGATCCGCACAGCGAAGTGCGTTTTAACGAATAGGAGAAATAAATATAAGCTGTGCATGTACTTCCGAAATCAGATGACCACTTCCTGACACCGACCTACGGAAATATCAGATATATTTAGTAAAGTGCTCATTTACATACTTCTACTTCAGTTGAATAACCGTCTTTATTAGTAATACATGCATACCATAGTAGAGAAAAGCTGAGAAATTCAATATCTATACTACACCTGTGCGAAACCGGGGCGGGTCGCTAGTACAATATAAATAATATAATAAACTTAACTATGTTGTGTAAAAACGCTTAACAACTTATTACTTCTTTTATGTTCTACCCTGTACGGGTCTTTCGAAATGAGCCTAGATGAATGACAGTTTTGTTTTACACTTTGGTGCACTATAGAAAAGCCTCTTTGATCTCCCTTTACAATGAAAACTAAGAGCCTTATATTTCGCATGTAAGCGTATAAATACACAAGTAGAATTTTATCGTTGATACGGAAAGAAGTGAACAGTAGAAGATTGCGTTCGGGAGCCGTAAGGGAACAATAGAGTTCACGGCTGATAAGGGGCGAGAGGACTCTAGTGTTAGTACGGCGCCTTCTCATTTCGGGGAGAAGCGATTAAAGTAAATTAAAAAGGCGGACGGAGCGAGTTTCTCCGTACTAGTCGCGTAATCTAACAGCCGGGCGAGTGAACGGAGAATCGGGCTCCAACGCAGCGCTCCGTTCGCGACCTTGGCACCTCTGTCGTACAACTCGCCCGCGCGGATACATGATCGCATTAAAAAAACACAACAACAAAAAAAAAAAAACACCGTCCGCCACGACTCCGCTCGCTCGACGCACAGATTATAATGATCCGAAAACGCCCTTCTATTTTATTTTTTTTCGTCACACAAGAGTACGATCCGCTCCGCGCAGCCGGCAGCGTTCGTTAGCGAAACGGCGAATATTTCACAATCGCTATACAAACAGGACCACTTATAGCAATCGCGAGAAAAAGAATAACGTTTTGTTTTTTTTTTCAACGCCATCTCGTGACCCGGCAACGGCGTTAATTGTTAGGTCATTGTGGCCGTACAGCTAATCGTTTCCTAGTCTTGCGTATAAGCGGGATTCGGCGAACGCTTCCCGAACATTCTGACCGAGAGCGCCATTTCCTAGAAGCCGGGGCGCATCGCGAGCGCAGCGCTACGGCCACTCACACGCCAAGGCGGACTAAAAATATTACGGGTTGACATTGAAATGTTAATGCACTCGGGGCGCGCGTTTCGGCCGCGTTTTTTCCAACGCCCGCCTCGCCGATTGATTCCGACTGTGGCGCGGCGCACAGCGCCGTCCGCGGCCGGCGGCGGGCGCATTCGGTGCGATAATGCGAAAGAAATCACAATTCACAACGGGTGTCGTTGATCCCGTGACGTTTACCGACGCGACGCGTCATTCGTGCGCTTTTTTTTTTCGCTGTTCATTTAAGCGCCCGTCGGTCGATCGGCCTTCAGCCAAATAATAAACGAGTTGGTACATTTTTCACATCATTTGAAAACCTTTAGAAATAGTTTTATTCTTTTTAATTTTTTTTTTATTGTTACCGTGTATAAAAGATATAAGTACATAAAAGGCGTCTCAAAGGCACTGAGCATTAATGTTATTTATCCGTCGCAACAGCTGCTTTCAACGAAAAGTAGCACTTGATAGTTAAATAGTAATTACAATTGCAATGTTTAATATAAAAATGTTTAATGTAAAATTATGAAACTCGAGCGATGATTAACCTTCACAAATAGAAAATGCGAACAGGCGTAATCTTATATTTTTGTCCGTTTACTTATTGTGCCACCGGCTTTCAGCCAAAATAAATCACAGATTGTTCGGTCGCGTAAATAAACGCAACATACTAGCGAAACTTTTGACAATTGGATGTGAAATGGGCAATAGCGAAGAGAAATGAAGTGACGTGTTAACGGCACAGATAATAAATGCGTGAACGACATAATATACAAACTGTAAAGATTCACTCCATTTGCAACCGCCAGTTTTCTTAACGTATTCTAGCTGGAAACGCTAATCCTTAACGTTTTTACGAGCATTAAATTTTTTTAACACCACCAGAGTTTATTTCTAGTAGCAATAAATATCGGCTTGGTGAACGCGCGTGATTTGTTCAGGTCCACGCGTTTTTTTACAATAAATTGAGCGGACTACGTGATTAGACGCACCTATGCTATGTGTATTGCACAATGTTTTAGAATATTTGCTTGTGAATCCGTTTCAGTTAAATGGCGAACTTTAAATTATACTATTTCCCTGAAAACCGTATCGGAAATTTGAACTTTACTCACTACCTATATATTTTTAATACTTTTCTGTTAAAAAAGCTATTATAGCAATTAAATATTTTATAAACATTATCCGGCCGAAGATTACTTTAAATAATGTTTTGTAAAGTTACAGATGCACATTAAATTCACTTTTATTTTTAATTTAATAGTCAGTGCCTATCGGCTGCCAGATTGTTTGATATTTAATTTCATTATTAATCGGTCTTTATTTTCTAAAACTTCCAAATGTGTAAATTAAAATTATTAATGCATCATTTTAGAATTTTACGTTTCATTATTAAGCGGAATTAAAGGAAAAGTTTTGCACGATCACTGGCTTGGCAGAATTCTGTTATAATAATTTAGGTGTCTCCTTAGTCGGAGAAGCAACGAAATTTTACATTAATTCCTATTTTCACTTAATCTTGTATGAGGGTGGTAAATAATTTCAGTATTTCAGCCGCGGCGCGCGGTGGAGCGTTAGAAGTTAGAGATTTGCGTTTATTTCGACCGAACCTAATAGAGATGGGGCGGACTTCTAAGAACTTTGTGTTTCTAAGAGTGATGTACATCGGCTATTAGTGATTTAGTGTGTCGCGAGACATTTGGTAAAAATAGGTGTCTGGACTCGGGAATAGAGTCCCCATGGCACTGGCTGACTAAAGCTTCGGATTGCATGCCTCGACATCGTTATTCCTCGTTAGTGACCCGTTCGGCGAATTGAATTTCTGGCCGCGTAATGGCCCCGGCCCGTGGATGTTTATCGAGATTATCGCTTCAATCGCTCAACCCTTTTTCAACGTCAACAACGCCCGCGCACCGATTTAAGGACGGGGCTTTGAGTTTATAAAACGCGTCCAATTTCCACGCCTCAATTATACCCCACAATTTAAAGGGTTGGACCTAAACAAGTACTGCGTGAGCGATACGGAATAGCATTAAGTGTATTTAGATTAAGTTGCTCGAACGCAACCTGCCAGTACGCGTATTAAGATTTCTTAATAAAAAAAAAGATGAAAAATATTTCGACGTCCTTTTTTTAAACTTTTTGGTATAGCCTATATTTATTGTTGTTTTGCTTTTTAAATGAGTAATTCTCTTTTTTATTTTATTTTTTGGTTTTCTGTTGCGTATTGCGCGTTATAGATTAGAATATACGACGCCATTGGTGAAAACATGTTTACAAAATAACTATCGCACGCGCGGCTAACGTATCCCGATAAATCGTATTGCGCCGTCGATATATTTTTATGCTATCCGCAATTAAATGTTCAAATTAAAATTTCAAATCCAACAGTTTCCGAACTTTTCTAAATTCGGTTGGTCGGTCGGGGTGTTCGATTTTTAACTCCTGCCGAAATTCTAATTATTTCGTAGCAAAGTTGGGACTTTGATTAAGTTACGAAATTGAAATTAAGTTCCGGGGTTAATTTAATCTGGAGGTGTCTTCACGGGACTCTTAAAAGGGCAACACTTTTTCCGACTGTATCCTTCGCAGTTAATTAATCAAACTGTTGGGCCGATTTTAAATTATAATTCACTTTGACGGTACACTCGAACTTCTTGAAACTTTTATAATAATGAAAAAGTTCAATTTGGAAACTTTCAAAGAGTCGCATTATCTTAAATAAATTAAGGTAATCGGTTATTCCGAACCCGTTATATGATTTATTTATTTTGTATATTTTCCGCGTTTATTTTAGTCAGTTTTATTTATGTAAAATTCTAAGTTTTAAATCTTAAAATTTATTCAGGCATTTTGCGTTATTAAATCATCAGTTGGGTTTTCATTTTATTATTATTTTTGATTATTTTCTATTTTTTGCCCGTGATTTCGGTCACTATAATTGTTTTTATTTTCGGTATTATTTTTGGCTCTATTGGGGTTTTTATTTTTATTTTGTTAGTTCGTTTCTTTTCCGTTCCTTTATTAATTTCGCTCACCTGAGTTGCATCAGTGTACGGTGTCGACGAATTCTTGTCGACCAGTTGCGACCCGAACACCGGCACTCCGCTCGAGGTCGGCGTCAGAGACCTCACTTCGGAGATTTGCTGGGGCACCATTTTGCGTTTATCCAGAAAAAATCAACGAAAAAAAAATAATTAAAAAAAAACCCCCCGGAAACTGAACACAGGGAAACACAGTTCACGTATTGCACTTAACACTGGCGGGGAGCGCTCGCGAAAAGTTCCACGAGTTTATAAAAGTCCGAAGGGGCTGATGATTAGCAACTCCTTGGTGCACCGGAGCCTCGCGGCTGGCGCGGGGCCGTCCACCTCCCAGTGCCTGGTGACTGTCGCCAACGCCCGGTCCGGAACTAGTGGTCTCGCGCTGCCTACTTCGCCGGCGGACGGTCCAAAAGTCATAATTTCAGCGGGACGAGCGAGCGCGCCGGCGGTTGCATCAATTGCGGCTACGTGCGAACTCCGCGACGGCTGTGGGTGTACTAACGCGGCGGCAACGTGCCCACCGCTGTCAATATACCCGCTCCGCTCAGCTGTTCTGTACCCTCCCCGCGCGCCGCGCACGCCCCTCCCCCGCTCGCCCCTCGCCGCCGTCCATTCGCTCTGGTTCAAGGAAGGTGAGCGCACGTCCGTCTTGAAGGGGCTTTGCACGCGTGTTCGCGCATCGGCCGCGTTTGGATGACGAACAGACGGAATTTTATTAGTATAATTATTCTTGTAATTCGTGTACACTGATTTTCCGTGGTGCATCGCAACCGTTCCTTTCGTTTTGAACACTGTATTTACTACATTTCGATTTTGTTTGAACACTTATCCTTGATTGAGAAGACTAGTCATAAATGATGCTATCTCCGATATTACTAATATATACGAATTTTAGAGATATCCCTTGTATTGAATGTAATAGAAACCTATGCCGGCAATCGCCAATTTAATGAAGAAATAAACTAATTGATTTAGTCAAATTATTTTTTGGGTTTTAATTCTCTATGTATCTAACGGAAGACTCATGTTCAACGCAATAAAGTTCATAGAATAATTTAGTGAAGATTCCATAAGAAAACATTAAGTATAAAGTAAGTCTTTATATCCCACTGCTGGGCAAAGGGCTCCCTATACAGCGGGTATTAGAGCTTAGTCCACCACGCGATCACGTGATCATATCTTTGATTTTTTTTTATCATTTCTAAAACCGGTTTCCTCACGATGTTTTCCACCGAGCACGTGGTAAGTCAGCCCATTGCAATTAGCAATTTCATTGATGCCGGCACCTGGATTTGAACTCGTTTTGGTGGAGTATATTGAAGTTAGGACGACCGCCCGGGCACTGAGCTATCATGGCTTAAAATAATCTAAGTTTCATTATTTTGATTTTCTTTTTAGACACAAAAACAACAAAAAAATTTAGATTTGATTATGTTTTATTTTTATATTTATTTAAATGATAATTTTGATAACATTTTTCAAAATGAAATCACGAGGAAAACATATAATTAAACCATACAAAGTTAAGCACAGTTAGGCATACTTGAGGTTGTTTTATTTATTGTAAATATTAGGTTTGTAAAATTTAATATTTATTCATAACTGTATATTACTTGTATTTTTTAATGATAATATGTTATTATAATTTGTTCCATACATTCATTAAAATACTTTGTTCGTTGTAACTGATAACGTGGTGTTAAATGCTCGTTAGATAAAGTTCAGTAACTTTAACGATGTCATTTGAAGTTTTTTTTTTTTTGTTAAATTCGAAAATAAATAACGGAATGTTTGCACAGATAAGATGGGAAACAAGTTGTATCAACTGAATTCATTTCAAACGGATTATTAATATAATGCAAATTTTAAAAGTTTTATTTAATGCTTGTATAGTTACTGACTGAGACATTGACTCGTCATCCGAAGTTCAATTTTAGACGAGTAGTTTTGACGACTTTTAATTTTTACGTAGACGCAAGATGCAAGGTCTGTGACGTTCGAACAATATTAAATTAAACAAAGTAAAATGATAGCACTGCGTATCTCTGTGTAAAGCAGTTTGGTCTAATAAATGTGATGGATTGATTTATCCAATCGACAGTCTCGTCCAAAGGAATAGTTTTCGCCCAAAATGTTTAGTAGTTCGTTGGTATTTTTAATACCATCAATAAAAAATTTACTAACCTAACTATCACGGTTCATCAGATAAAGCCTGGTGAGAGACGGACAGACAGACAACGGCGTGTCTTACTAATTGAGTCCCGTTTTACCCTTTGCGTACGGAAACTTATAAACTCACTATAAAAGCTATCTGGTTACCGCTAAAAGTCGTGAGTTTTTGTCCTACTGCAAATTCTTCTATTGCCCTTAAGTAATTTACTTGTTATTCGCTAGCTATTACGCCCGGAGTCGTCTCACTGATATTTAAAATAATATTTTTTTCCGGAATATTTATTGGTTGCTGAATTGAAGACTGGCGTAATTTTTTTTTTTTTTTTGGCTGGATGAGCCACTGTTGGCCTTAGGGGCCTTTACAGATCCGACGGACTTGAGGTGGCCTGGCGCACGAGGCGCCTAGCCTGAACCTCTGCGTACTATTATTACGCGTTATGGTGACTAAGCTCGAGGGCTCCCGGGGGAGCCTCGGCTCGCTGGCGTAAAGTAGGAGTGTTACACTTCTGCGTTTCGTCTGGTGAGTGAAGTAGCCGGGGCTCACTTTATTTAAAGGTGGCAACGCATTTGCAACCCTACGGGTATTGCAAATGTCCCTGAGCGGCGGTTATCACTTAGCATCAGGTGAACTGCCAGCTCCTTTGCCACTTACTCACATAAAAAAAATTGAACTCTCCTTTTTTTAAATTGTTTGCAAATTTCATTAACTCTATCCAGCCGTTGCAACGCGAATCGAACAGACGGACACGTAAACTTTCGCATTTTTATAATAATGCGACTATTTATTTAATCTTTATTGCACTAAAAATTGTACAAAGGCGAGCTTAATGCTATATTGCATTCTCTACCAGCTAACCCTAGGTAGAACAGAGACATAATGACAAGGGCAGTAAAGTAGTTGTAATCGTTACATAATCAATAAAAATATTTCATAAGGTTATAAATCTAAAAACTACCAACATAAACATACGTAGATGAGTATACTTATATATTTATGACTATGCTTCGAGGGTTACGTAAGATCGACACCTGATTTAATGTCGTTAGCCTACAGGTGGGAGGCGGGAAGGCATGCGGGCTCGGCAGATGGCGTTGCCGTCGTTAAGTTCGCTAATTTCAATTATTTATGTGGGAGTGCGTTTTAACGATTTTTTCTCATATGTAATAATATAACCGCGATTGTGGCCCTTTGGAGGGTTACAAGGAGACAGTTGAAATAACATATCTAATGCCGAACGTTTAAGGCTTACAGCCGCAGAAGCATCTACAAAAAAAAAGAAAGCAGAAAGTCGGGAACTTTATATGAAAATATAAGGTAGCGTTTATAACATCAAATAAAGATTATTGAATTCACGATAACAATTCTTTGATATAAATAATTAAAATATTTTTTGTTATAAAAAGTATCTTTATATAAAAAAAATATTATTCATTTCAAATAAATAACACGTTTGTTATAACGGCATGCTTTTAACAAAATGGTTCGTGTATAAAATAAAGTAAGTAGGGTAAGCATCACACAGTGTTGCCTCACGTTTTAATAATTGATTGTTAATACACCTTGCAGCAACAGTCTTGCATCGTTAGTGAAAGCGAAGTTTAAAAAGGCATCCTGTTTTCTTGATTTTGAGCATTTGTCACCGTGATCACCCAATGACAATTTATTCAATGTTGCCTACATAACATTGACAGTATATATTACGTGATATATATAACTAACTGTTAAGCGCGGCCTTTGACAGCGCGGCTTCGTCCGCGCTGTCAAAGGGAATTAACAAAGAGTTTTTTATTATATACCAGAATAGCTCGCAGATGGCAGAATTTTTTCCAACCTACTTGGCACTTATCGTTATATTTTGTACAATTCACATTATATCTTTATTAATTATAGCCTATATTTTATTCTAATGCATTAGCTATATTATTGTAATGTTTCATTAAAATCCATTCAGTAGTTTTTGCGTGAAAGAGTAACAAACATCCATCCATGCATACAAATTTCCGCATTTGTAACATTAACTAGCCGCTGTCCGCGACTACGTCTGCGTAGGAAAGGCTGAAGGCGTAACATTCAGACAGAAAGACAGATATACATAAAAAAAAAGTATATAAATTATAGCATATGTTTTATTCTGATGCATAAAACTATATTATTATTGTAAAGTTTCATTAAAATCAATACAGTAGTTTCTGCGTGAAAGAGTAACAAACATCCATCCATACATACAAACTTTCGCGTTTATAATATTAGTCATCTTAAATTAAAATTAAAGTATTACTAATCTTTATCCTTACTATCCTTGTAAGGATTAGGATTAGTAAGGATGTGGCCTACGTCCAGCAGCGGAATTAAACAGGCTGAAACGATGAAGATAAATATTGAGGGCTAGTGGAATGAAACCTAGTGATAGCTTTATTTGCCACAAAAATAAGAATAAATACATAAAACATAAAAATGTAATAAACACCAATTTAAATAAACAGGAAAATGACGAATAAGTAAATAAATCTTAAGTACATACATACAAACTTACAAATGAATATAGACAAATAGGAAATAAGCTTAATATTTCCCGAGAAAAGTTCTCAGTGCTGACTTTCAGCTTATCCTGTCCTGTCAAACCGAATAAAAACGCAAGAATAATCTCGAGAATTGGTAGAGTTTGGGCTTACGGGTAAGTTGACCTTTACCGATCGTGAAAAAACTCATTTAACGTAGATCCTAAATTTATTTTTATGATTGCTACAAATATTGTAATAATCTTATCGTTGTAATTGGCAATACGTATGTTAACTGAGGTACTTTTAATTGACTACTTTTATTATTCGTCTCAAAATCGACGATTTACCGCCAACACTTGTCGTTAAGGTTATCATCTCACATATCGTATTACAATTAGAAGCCAAAATAAATTTTATGAACTAACGATAATTGTCATATAACAGACAACGGACCGAAAATATTATTTTAACGATTATGAGTAAGAACGTTCTGGAATTTGTCTTTGTATTACTTAAAATAACGTGCGATGTAAGAAAATGATTTTCGTAGCGTACGTTTTTGCAATACGGCAGACGCCATCTAGCGGCAGATAATAGCACTAATAACACCGAAGAAAACTGACAAGTCAGTAGGTACAAGTTATGTTTTATATTTTTCGAACGTTTCCTCCGTAAGTTAATTAATGTCCAATGCTTTTTTTATTATTGTTGTAAATTGCGTGCACTAAAAGGAAATTGAAACTTTAATATTTAACGTATTCAATTTTAATATTTGTATTGCATTAGCGGACGTCATATTCAAATATCTCTACATTATGGTCTCCGTACAAGTTCTACATTAATAAGTAAGTATATGTTTAGGAACTGTACAAACTAACAGTCAAATAAAAAAAAATTAACAATCCATTTGGGCAACGAAATATTGTCGCTTATTTAATACACACAGTAAGATTTATTTACGGGCGTGTTTATAGAAGGAACCCGTTAGGCTGAGATATATCACTTGAATATGTATTTTTTTTATAAACATTGCCCTTATTTAAGGAGGACATTATCCTGTGTTGTAAGGACGTTTTAACAAACATAAATTT